CACGTTTACTGGCTTCTTTCCCTTCTCTCTCTCACTTTGGCACTTCCTTACCAGTGTGTCCTGCAGTCACCTCCCAAATAAACAACTTGGATTCACATTTTTTTTTTTTCTGGAGAGGTTTTTACTATAGGGCGTGTGTGCTCGCCAGACAGACAGACAGAGAGATAGAAAGTGAGAAATCACCCCCCAGGGGGATGGCCACACCGCAATCCCTTCTCCTTGTTCTCCTCTGGGGATCTTGGACACGCACTCACACGCTCCCGGCATGAGTTTTAAGCCACCAGGTCTGGGATGCGAACCACGGTCGACTACATGGGAGTCCAGAGACATAGCCATTATGCTAACTGCTGTTCCCAAGAAATTTCTTTTTATAAATGTGAACTCCTAATCTTACCGTTGTTACCACATAGCTAGGCACTGTGAATTTTGTCACAGAATGACCAGAAACAACCACAGAGGCACAAGAAACATGAGAAACCAAGAAAATATCTCTTCCCTAAGGGAAAACAACAATCCCTCATCATCCACAGACAGAATAGTAGAATTCATGGAAATGTCTGATAGAGACTTTAGAATATTCATATTGACAAAACTAAATGAGAAGCAAGAGCTGAGAGACAACGAACTCCCGAAGATGCTGGAGAAAAGAGACAATGAGTTCCAGGAGGTGTTGAAATTCTTTCATGATGTGAAAGAAGAAATATACACCATAAAAAAAGAATCAAATGGTGCTATTTAGAGATTGAAGGCTGCCATTCAGGAAATCAAAACCTCCCTCAAAAGTATTAAAATCAGATTCGTCCATACAGAAAATTGAATCTCAAATATTGAAGGCAAATCTCTGATCTAGAAAAACAACCAAAAAAACTGAGAAAATAACCCCCAAAAATGAGAATACTATACGAGAAATACTAGACAGCATTAAGCACCCAAACATCTGGATAATTGGTATCCCAGAAGGTGAGGAAACTAATAAGGGCATTGATAATCTAGTCTATGAAATCTTAGTAAAAAAACTTTCCAAATCTAAAGAGGAATTCAAATATCCAGACCCAAGAAATACAAAGGATCCCTAATAGAATCAACCCAAGAAGATCTTCTCCAAGGCACATCATAGCCAGACTGGTCAAATCTACAAAGACAAGATACTAAAATTGG